GAGGGGCATACCCTGAGTGTGGGTTGGGGCCAGTGGAGTTCCATCGTTTTACTGAGGGTGGATTGAGGAGGTCGCCAGCACACACACAGGGGAAGTCACCAGCGTCAGAGGGGCCCTTGAGGGAATTGGAGATGCATTTAGATATTTCTCGGTGGAGGGCGTCGCTTCAGGGTGAGGGGCATGGAGAGCAGGCAAAGGAGGTGCCACGAGAGGAGGTACCACAGGAAGAGGTCCAGGGTACTCAGCGAGAGAGAGGGCTGGGCGATGAGGGGAGACGTGCAGGAAAAGAAGTAATAGAGGTTGAAGAGGACACGCCCCCACAGACGCCAGCAGTGGGTTTGAGACTCCGGGATGCACCAGGGAGCACCCGGCCGACAAATGAGGGGTTGCAGAGAAAGGAGACCCCTTTACCTTCGTCAGAAAAGGCTTCTTCGCCAGAAGAGAGGGCAGCTGTAAAGAGAGAAACTTTGATCCTGATTGATAGGCACCTAGCAGCTCATGCCCTGGAGTACCCAGACCTGGAGGAGCCAGCACCTGCAGAGCCACGCCAGGAGTCATGCCAGCCCGAGAAGGAAATGGAAGCAGTAATCCCAAAGAGGGTCGACCTCCGCACGAGGGAAAGAGTGCCAGCTTGAGAGACGGCTGAAGAAAAGAGGGCAAGACGAACCAGGCAGATAGATGAGATATGGCAGGAGAGGCAGAGGTTGGAGGCAGCAGGGGAGCTCCCGGAGCAGCAGCAAGAGAGGCAGAGATCGGAGACAACAGGAGCACTCCCGGGTCAGCCGCCCAGCGCACCAGCTAGGGCCCCAGAGATTCCTGAGATATGGAGGGACTTCTCGGAGCAGAGAGGAGAGGAGCTTCCATCGCCAGTCAGAGCCGGGTTTGGGGTGGCCAGGAAGGCGGAAGAAAGGTTAGATTGTAAAATCAAGTTCCTGGCCAATACCACTTTTGACCGGCACTTGTTATTAGAGGGCGATCTGGCGGGGAAGAAAATGAAGGAAGCCAGCCATGGAGTACGTCTGGAGGCTATGGAGATGAAAATTCAGGAACTTAGGGCTTTGAAGGCCAGCCAGGCAGCTATTATTGAGAGTCTGAGGCAGCAAACCCAGGGAAAGGCGGACAGACCAGAGAGCAGCCGGCAGGGAGAGCAGAGGCAGCCAGGACAGGGATTGCCAGGACAGCCATCTGCGACAGAGCCTCGCCAGGAGCCGCCTATGGGGAGAGTTATCTTGGAGCCAGAGGAGGCAAGAGCCCAAAGACAGGCAGAGAGAGAGGCGTTCGAGTTTAGAGCCCCTACTGAGCTCGCGACTCTGTCGGTGGCGGCGGCAGGTCCGGTCGTACCTTTGGCAGTAGAGGAGGGGCTGCCACCATCTAGCAGTGAGCCGGCTCAGGGCTCGGCAGAGGGATCCATGGGCGTGCTCCTTGAGACGGTGCATACTATGCGGGAGGAGGTGAGTTTGTTTTCACCTGAGCAGAGGATAGAGGAGCCTCTTGAGAGAGAGATGGGGATTGAGGAGGAGGATGTCATGGAGGGCAGACTCCAGAGGATAGGCACACCTGAGTATGGACCAGAGGAGATTGAGGAACAACCCACGGCAGTGCCAGGGGCGACACTCGAGAGGAGGCCTCAGAGGTTGGACACGCCCGAGTACGTCCCAGCGACAGAGGATTTGAGAGGCAGGCTAGGATCTTGGGCTACTGGATCTGGGTCTAGTGGACCGGTTCCGAGGACAGAGCGGCAGGAAGTCGTTGGTACTGCAGCTCCTCAAGCAGAGCAGCAGGGGGTTATCAGTACCTTGGCAGGATCTCCTTCATCACCACCTCCTCAGCCCAGGAAGAGGAAGTTCAAGAGGAAGGTTGATCAACTATGTTTCTACTGCAAGAGGTGCGCGCATCATGCTTTGGACTGTCTCGAGTTTCTTGAGGATAAGGCAGCAGGGAAGATCTCAGAGGTAGGGGGTAAAATGTATGATAGACAGGGTAGGATAGTAGAGAAGTCCGCAGATGGACTTAGGGCTCAGTTATATAGGCAAAACCAAGAGAAGTTGAGGAGGTAGGGCTCGGTTTTGTCTATATAAGTGAGCGAGCATTTTGTGGGGTATCAACTTAGGTTCTGTGTGATACCCGTTTTTGACTTA